GGCTTGAGGAGAAGACAACTGCACTACTGGGGCAAGAGGTATTCTGTGTGCACTTCCGTGTGTAGCCCGCATTTGCTGTCTTTGCAGATTTGGGATGAGGAGGGACAGACACTTGGGATGCTTGAGCTTAACTTTTCCATTAGGCTTCTTTCTGGCATCCTACAAATCATGCAGGGAACGGATCCGGCTTCCACATAAGACTGGCTGCGAGATCTCCTCCCCCTTCATTTGTACTCACACCAGCGCCCTTTGCCCCCCTCGTCTTTCAGGTTTCATACGGAATTCAACTCCATTCTTATAAGAAGGAGATCAGCAACTAAACGTGTGGGGGGGGTGCCCCGCAGATTCAGAGGCGCCTTCTGGCCGGTGCGCCTTTCTTTAAGGGAGCTGTGGACAAACATCTTGGTGGTTCTAATGCGTATGAATGGTGGATGCAATGAAGAATAGACTCTAGGGGAAAGGAGAGAGGAGTTTTGCACTGCGTCCTAGAAAGGGGCTTTTGTCAGTATCATGCTTCTGAACTACTAGAGTACTGCTTGGTTGGCTAAACGACAATAGGACAGATTAGAGCTTTTGAGAATGATGTTGCTGCCTCTGCCTCACAGAGCAGAAGGAAGTTTCAAATTGCCAATTAGCATTGCAAAACCCAGGCTCAGATACATTTACTTTCATAGCATTGGGTTTTCAGTACAATTTCTTGGATTTGGCTTACGTGGGACTCTTCAATGTTTTAGATTACAAAGCCATTTTGTGTGCGATTACAAGAAGAAATTGGAGTAGTGGGGAATTGTCCCTGGTTTTCATCTCATTGTGCCATAGAAGAGTTTTTTAAAAACATGTTTTAGTTACCACTGTTGGCCATACCGCAAAGGATGCGCATTGGGGAATGCTTCCATTTCCCTGTTCCATCCAGTCCCCAGCTAGAACGACGTCTTTCATTCCAAGCCATCCATTCACTGTGTTCCTTTTCTTTAGCAAGACTCATTTGTCAGCAGTGTCCACACCCAGCAGGTTTGGATTGCTCCACTGTGATGAATCCAGCACTGTAGCAAAGCTCTGTGAAGCTAGTGAAAGTTGTTAGAGAGCAGCAACGCCATTAAGTGCAACTCTTTGTTGTGGTATTCTATTCTGAATTCACAAGAACCATCTGCTTTTGGCATTATATATATATATATATATATATATATATATATATATATATATATATTTTCTGTCTGCATTGCACTGAGATGAAGGAGGGAGGCAGTTCTCCTGCCTTCACATTTACATTAAATGGATTTTCTTTCTGGGCATTTTCATCTTTCAAGGGAGAACCAGGTTACGAGGTGAAGATCTTAGCTAAGGCAGCAAAGGATTTTTCAGTCTCACGCACCTTGCCTGGTGTCCCACAGTGTAGAGCAAGTGCTTCCTGTTGACTCTGCCTTTAATTTGCACACCTGAAAATAGCAGAAATAAGTTCAGTTAAATTGTTTTTTTTAATTTAAAAAAAAAACAGATTTGGAGGGAATAATTGGGTGGGGAGGGGATATTTAAGTTAAATCATGAAGATTTTACCCCACCCTGCTCAGATTCACATGTGTATATACAGTGTTTAGAGGGAATCAGAAAATGCCAAGCCTTTTTTTCCTCTTTGAATGTGCTGTCTATTTTTATAACTGAACTTGTACATATGTATAAAAAGAGACACATCTTTCTTTTACTAACTGGAGAAAAGAATCTTAAATAAAATGGAGTGAGATAATTTTATGTAAATTCAGTCTCTGTGGCTTATTGTTCTATGATGAAGTTTGGTGAAACAAGGTGCTTCCTTTTCTAATTATTTTGCATCTGCCTATGTCTAAGAAATAACTACATGCAGCTGGATACACAGACTGTGCACAGGTGATCGCAGAAGGCTTCTTGCCACTACAGTCTCG